TTTCATCTATAAGCTTTGTAGCTCTACCTCTTTTTATTATTTTCTAAACAGTGGGGCCAGCGATATACATCTATAACTAATCAAGGTCTATCTAGAGTTAATAATGTGCCACTTTACACTGCCACCACACATCTGACACTTTCCACTTCTGATATTCATTCTGATATTTTCTGCCTTGAAACAGACTTCAGGACCTGATTATTTCAATAATTAAAAAATGCAAATAGACCAAATATTCCTATTAATAGACAGATGATCAGACTAAATAAAAATGCAAGACTGAGCTATAAGTTGTCTAAAATCTCAGCTCCAGGAGATAACACCCTGACTGGGAAGGGTATCAGAGAAACAGACCAAGGGACATGCGGGGAAGGGTAGCAAATCTTGGGTGCTGGACTCTTAGCAGGAGAAAATCTGAACCCTGCAAGAAGCGTATGCTGCCTTCCTGGCTGCCTCCAGGTGTGCTGCAACATGCCATTGAGTGTTCTGCCATCTAATTAGGTATTTTCCAAAAATCATTCCTCAGAAAGTGAGCTCTGGTTCTTCTGAGCAAGGTGAGGTGGCTACATATCACTTGCAACTTGCAATTTATCCAAATGGCAAGGGCTCCTAAGGAGGATCTTGGTCTGATCTATACCCCCATAGAGCAGGTTTACTTGCTGGGCACCAAGAGCAACACAAAAAGCTGAGGCAGAAGAGGCCAGAGCCAGGCTGTACTACCTATGGGCTAGGTGACCTTGGGTGAACCAGTTCGCACTCTAAGCTACAGAGCTGTCATGTGTAGCGGGCATGATAAGGCCCAGAACTGCAGTTTATGTGAAAGGTGCCCAGATAAAGCACCTTGCAGAGATGCTACGAGGATTTTGTGAGGTAGCATATGAAAAACGACCACCTTAGGGCCTGATGAGTGGGACAGAGTAAATCAATTATGGTACATCCATCCAGTGAAATACCAAACAGCCATTGAAATTCATGATGCCATCTCTGTTTCCGAGGCAGAAAGCTCATCATGCATTATTGTGAAAGGAAAAATGTAGCCTACAGAATATCAAGAATAATTTGTTCCCACTTCTATCTATACACATGTAGCTATATATGCATGGAAAATCCTGGCAGGAGAACCCCAAAGTGTTGTTAGATTTGAACTGGAGATTTTTTCCTTTGTCAATATTTCCACATTTTTTCTACAATAAACATGCTTTCAATTTGAAATTTTAAAAAGTCAAGAAAATGTATTTTCAATTGGCTCTTTTCATTTCTATCTATGTCTCCTCGGTCAGCTTCATCTATAAAATGTAAATACAGTTGACTCTTGAACAAAGCAAGGGTTAGGGGCACAGACACCCCCATGTAGTAAAAAATTTGTGTCACTTTTGAATCCCCCAAAACTTAGCTACAGTCATCCCTAAGTATTTAGGGTAGAGATTGTTCTCAGGACCCCTTGCAGATACCAAAATTTGTGGATGCTTGAGTCCCTTTTATAAAATGGCACAGAAAAATGGACACAGTTGGCATCCCACATCTGTGGATTCCCAATCATGGATCAAAAATACTGTTTTCACTAACATTGTTAAAATGTCCGTACCACCCAAAGCAATCTACAGACTCAATGCAATCCTTACCAAAATATCAATGGCATTTTTCACAAAACTAGTAACAAATAATCCTAAAATTTATATGGAACCACAAAAGACCCAAATAGCCAAAGCAATCTTGAGAGAGAAAACAAAGTTGGAAGTATCAAGCTACCTGATATATTACAAGGCTATAGTAATCAAAATAGCATGGTACTGGCATAAAAGCAGACATGTAAATCAATGGAACGGAATAGAGAACCCAGAAATAAACCCTGCCTATACAGTCAATTAATGTAAGACAAAGGAGGTAAAGACAGTCTCTTCAATAAATGATGTTGGGAAAACTGGACAGACACATGCAAAAGAATGACATTGGATCCCTCTCTTACATCATATACTAGAAAAAATTCAAAATGGATTAAAGACTTAAATGTAAGATCTGAAACCATAAAACTCCTAGGAGAAAACATGGAGAGTAAACTCTCTGACATCAGTCTTAGTAATATTTTTTTGGGATCTGTCTCCTCAGGCAAGGAAAATCACAGAAAATACAAACAAATGGGACTACATCAAACTAAAGAGTTTTTGCACAGAGAAGGAAATGGTCAACAAAATGAAAGGACGACTTACTGAATGGGAGAAGATATTCACCAGTGATATAAGCGGTTAATATCCAAAATATTAAGGAACTCATACAACGTAACACCAAAAAACAAATAATCCAATTAAAAAATGGACAGAGGACCTGAATATACATTTCTCCAAAGAGGATATACAGATGGCCTATAGACATACGAAAATATGCTCAACATCACTAGTCATCAGGAAAATGCAAATTAAAACCACAATGAGATATCACCTCACACCTGTCAGATGGCTATCAATAACTCAACAAACAGTGAGTGTTCGTGGGAATATGGAGAAAAGGGCACCCTCGTGCACTGTTGGCAAGATTGTAAATTGGTGCAGCCACTACGGGAAACAATATGGAGGTTCCTCGAAAAATTAAAAATAGAGCTACCATATAACCCAGCAATTCCACGTCTGGGTATTTAATCTAAGAAATCCAAATCACTAATTTGAAAAGATATATGCACCCCTATGTTCATTCCAGCATTATTTACAATAGCCAAGATATGGAAACAACCTAAGTGTCCATTGATAGATGACTAGATAAAGAAGATGTGGTGCATATATATATGTATACAATAAAAAATTACTCAGCCATAAAAAGAATGAAATCTTACGATCTATGCCAACGTGGATAGACCTAGAGGGTATTATGCTAAGTGAAATAAGCAGAAACAAACTCATAGATACAGAGGACAAATTGACTAGACAGAAGAAAGGTTACGTGATGGGTGAAAAAAGTGAAGGGATTAAGATGTACAAATTGCCAGTTATAAAAAGTCACAGGTATGTAAAGTACAGATAGGGAATATAGTCCACAATATTGTAATAACTATGTATAGTGTCAGATGGATAGACTTAATGGGGTGATCACTTTTTAAGTTATATAAATGTCTAATCACTATGTTGTACACTTTAAACTAATATAATATTGTATATCAATTGTAATTAAAAAATAGTTTTTGATCTGTGGTTGGCTGAATCTGTGGATGCAAAACCTGGAGATACAGAGAGCTGACTGTATATGTATTGAAAAAAATCCGCTTATAAGTGAACCCGCGCAGTTCAAATCCGTGATGTTCAACTGTAATGATACAGGGTCAATTGTAAGGATAAAAAGAGTAAGATAGTGCTGTAGATATCCTATCTAACTCAACACCTGAGGTGGGAATTAGGATGTTCATTTTATAGAGGAGGAAGTGGATTCTCAGAGACGGCAAAGCTCATGTAGAGAAAGTAATGTTCCTTCCCCAAGGGGCTACCTCATGGTTCAATGTGAGGACAGAGCATGGGTGTTTTATGAAGTGCCAGGTGCCCTGCCCGTAGTGGGCAGAGGATGTCATAGTCAGAGGATGAGCTCTGGAGCCAGATGGCCATGTTTAAAGCTCAGCTCTATCCCTTTGAGCTTGGGTAACCTTGGATAAGCAACCTCACCTCTCCGAGCCTCAGCTTCCTCTTTTGTAAAATGAGGATAGCAGAAGTGCCACCTCAAAGGGTTGAGCCAAGGGCCATATGAGACAGCTCTTGCCCAGAGCAGGCACTTGATGACTGACAACTTTGATTATATTAATATCCTCTGGCCTAGCTCGGACCCCTGATTTCGGCAGAGATTGTCTCTATCTCTGACATACAATGTCCAGAGGGAGGTGGACCCTAGTGGTAATGGAGCAAAGCTCAGCAATCAGCTTCTTGCTCTGATGTGAATACCCACCACCCTGCCCAGCTTGGTGGGTACGTGAGACAAAAACAGCCACACTCCAGACCAGGGTTCTCGAAGAGGCAGTGTGGCCTGAAGGGTGCTTGGGGTTGTCACAAAGAATGAGGGCATGACTGGCATTGAGTAGATGGAGACCAGAGAGGCTGAGCCCCCTAGGCCGCTCTGAACAAATGTCCTACCAGACATTCTTATAGGTGAAAAACCTATTTAGATTTATCTGAGATTAGAATCCAACTCTGCCATGAAAACACAAACTAATTTTGTACTTTTTAATATACATTTAATTTTTCCATAATTCAAATACCATGTAGATCAAGAGAAGAGTTATTCACCATTTTGCATAACCACTTCATCAATAATAACCCTGCCTACAGTGTGTTTGATATAAACACTCATCAAAATGTACTTAAGAATGTCACACTCATGGTGATTCTGCATCTAGAAAAGGGACAGGGAGACAGAGAGGCTCTTCGAGCAGTGGAAAGAGCATGTGCAAAGTCTCTGGGCTGGGAGTGAGTGAGCTATGTCTCAGAAGTGAAAGCAGACTACTGAGGGGCAGAGAGGGCATGGGGGAACGAGGCAGGTGGTGAGGCTGCAGGAGCTGGGCCATACAGGGTCTTGAGGCCATGCTGAGAGTTCAGCACTATGAGAAGCCTAGAAAGGTTTTCCATCAGAGGACATGTTCAGATTTGCATTTTTGAAAAAATCACTCTGCAGGGTAGCACATGGAATGGAGGGGTAAGTAACGGAGGCAGGGAAGCCAGTGAAAGGTTCCTGCAGGCATCCAGGTGAGTGGTTATGGTGGCCTGGGCTGTTGGGAAGACAGTGGAGCTGGGGAAAAACTGATGAAGTGGAGTGGCATCGAGGAGGCAGAATCTATACAACTTGGGGATGCCTTGGATTCAGCAGTGAGGAGGTGTCAAGGTTTCCTGCCCAGGTAATTCCCAGGATCCCAATTTGAGGATGGATGGTGGGGCCCCCTCCTGTGACCTGAACCAGGGGAAGAATGAGCTGAAGAGGAAGATAATATTTTCATTGTAAACATCACCCAAAGCATCACCACCTTTGGCACTTACCTGACTCTGCTACCTCAGCAATGGGTACCCCCTGCTCGTATGCCATGAAGCCCAGGACAGAGAAGATGGCGAAGCCGGCCACGAAGCTGGTGCCACTGTTCAGACAGCAGAGCATAATACAGTCCCTGTAGGGAAGCAGTGAGAGGGCTCAGGTCAGAGTGGGCGGAACAGGCACATTGCTGGAACATTCTGTCTGAGCACATGGCAGTCCTGTGGGGGCAGGCAGAGCAGTAAAAGTATGGACAGCACCATTATCCTGATGAAGCTTTGTAGTTCAGAAAGGTTAGATGGCTGGTGTATGATCATACAGCTTCTGCTGAACTTCTAGAAAATAAGGTTGGTCACAGGGCAGAGGCACAGAGAGGGAGTGGGCAGGGAGAGAGGCTTGCAAGTGGGAAAATGCACGAGCGAGAAAACACTTGGAGACAAATCAGTGCTCCTTCAGATCCCTGGCAGGAGAAAATCCCAGGGAAAGTGAGAGAAGATTGATTTCCCGGGAGCTCAAACAAGGAAAGCAAGAGAGGCCCCTGAGAAACGGCTGCTTCTCAGCCAGAGAAGCACTGATGAGCTTCACACTGGAAGCTCTTTGCAGCCTCAGGAGGAGACATCTGTCCTGGCCAAGTTCTTTATGGGAGCAGCACCCCATTGACCTCACTGCTCAGTTCTGGCTCTGCTGCTGCGAGGGAGCAACCCTTCCACATCAGGCCCCTCATGGAGAGGTTTATCAGAGCAGTGACTGTCTCCTGCCCTTGGGAGGGGCTCGCCAGCGAAGAAACGTAGGCAAAAGTCATGACCAAGGAGAAATCAGATTACAAATGACTTTGGCAAGATAAAGAAGATGGACCTGTCAAGTCCTGGCCCCTCTAACCTCAGGCTCTGCATCCTCTTGAGGCCAAGTCAGGGAATGAGCCTCCCAGGACTTCAGCTGCTGCAGATTGTGCATTGGGAGTTAGTCTTAGAACACGTGTGATGCTCCACTTTAAAGGGAGCAGCTCCCAAGTGGCCTGTCCAACCCCCTGCCCAGGGAGGTATGACTAGCCTGGAGAGTCCCTGCAGCAGCAGTCACCTGCCTCTGCTCACCCCTAGTGATCAGGAGCTTGTCACCTGCTTCCATAATGCTTTGCCCTTGCCCAATGGCTCCTGCTTCTTACAGGGTAAGAACTTCCTCATGTTGTGCTTGACCAAAATCTGATTTCTCTGATAAGTTTTAGTTCTACCCTCCCAAATAAGCTGGAGCTCCTTTAGGCTTGGGAGAGCTGAAGATTGGACCTGTATCTCCTTGAGTTTTTGTTCTCTCAGTTAACTATGCCAATTCCTTTACCAGTTCCTCTTCCCGCTTGTGATCTGTAATTGTCCAGCTTGTCCAGCCCCTTTTCAAATGTCACATCCAGGAATGAGCACCAGACTCAAGAACAGAATAAGACTCTCTCAGGTCCTCTTCTCTTGACACCATACTTTTTGTAATGCAACGAAACGGTACACTAATGTTGGGGACTGTCACACCATGTTGTCTTGCAATGACTCTGGCAATCAAGGGCAAAATGGAGAGAGCATTGGACTGGCGCTCAGGAACCTTGGGTTCCAATCCCCCCTGCAATATCTCTTCTCTGGGCCTGATCTCACCAGCTATAAACCTTGGGTGGATTAAATCTATTCAATCTTGGGCCCTGTGATAGATTAAATCATTTTCCAGCAAGCAGTCACTCTCCCTACTTTCTTCCTTGGAGTGCAATATAACGCCTGGCTCCACTGAAGCAAGCAGTCACTCTCCCTACTTTCTTCCTTGGAGAGCAATATAACTCCTGGCTCCACTGACTTCAGGCTTAGTCACGTGACTTGCTTTGGCCAACGAATATTAGCAGATGTGATACAAACAGATGCTTAAGATATGCTTGTGCGATTAGATTTGTTCATTATCCCTTCTGTGTTTTGCCATGAGAACCTCCCTGGGGAAATGCTGTCCTTGCAGCTTAGACTCCAAAATGTACACACACAGACCAGACTTGAGCCTGGCCTGGACGCTGGGACCAAACAAACCCAATCTACAGACTGAAGGAGAGCTTCCCCAAGTGACCTGCTTGTTGAGGTAAGCCACTGTGTTCTGGGCTTCTTTGTTACACAGCATTATTGTGGCAGTAAGTGACAGATACAGTTACCTTTAAAGAATTCTTCTGGCACTATAGATGAAGGATGGGCTGGTAGCCCTAAGGACTTTATCTGCAAGCCTGATGTACCTCCTCTCAAAAGGAAATTCAGCTCAGCCCAGGCAAGGGCAGAATTATTCCTAGAGTTGGGATAAATCTGCTCCTCATACCTGTTTCTTGACTCTGACTTAACCAACAGTGGGAAACAAGGTGGTACTGGAGAGGAAAGTACTTTCTCCATATCCTCTATATCCTGGAATTCTCCCGTATAATTTGGATCTGCAATCTATCTAGTCCTGTGCGAGGATTTCTCAAACACTGTCACAGAATCTCAAGGCTCAGGGAGGAACGTCACACATTCGAAGTTTCAGTCATTTGGTGGGGAAGGTGAAATGTACATCCATTTATCTCAGACATGAAATCCCTTGCTTTTTCTATGAGTTACACAAAAAGGATGCTTCCCAAGAATCAAGATATCCATATCCTGATTTGTAGACAGTTATCTCTAGACATCCATATGGTTGCTGGAAAACAAATGTCCCTTATCTCAAAGTTCCCATCTTCCCCTAGAGGCCTCTGGAGAGGTTTCCCAGCACTACAGAGAGGCTCTGAGCACACCTAAGTTCCCTTCCAGCCCTGTGTCCTGCACTCTTGCCCTCAGACCACCCGTAACTTCAGGGGATGGAGGTTAGCCATCTGAGTTCTGGAGTAAGGATTTTCTCTGCCTAGTTTGCTCTGTCCCCATACCTCTAACTCCTTCCCCACAGGGCATCTTTTAGGTGAAAAGATTATGTAACAACCACTTTGAAGTTGGCAGCAGCTGAGCCAGCTTTGAAGACCTCTAGAAGCTATTATGCTGTCAGAAGAGAGGGTACTAATTTACTCCCTCTGAGTTGGGAAGACTTGCTCTGGGAACAATTTAGAAAAGGAAATAAAATGAGCCTTTCGATTTAGCAATGTCACCTAGGGGATCAGGTTACCTCTGCTGATGGGAGGAGGAGAAATCTGCCTGTTGAATGGGAAAGCAGAAGAGATCTTCAGCAGCCAGCATATTCAACCCACTGCTTGGAGGGGAAAAAAGTTGCCACTGCGCCGAGACACAGCCTGATGACAGAGCAGTCTTGGCCAAATCCTTGCTAACTGCTATAGTTGGGAAAGAACAGGGCATCCCTGTTAGTGAGGACTAGGGGTGTAGGAACCAGAAAGGCCTAGGTTCAAAGCCTTGTTCCATTAGTGGCAACGTGAACATGAGCAAGTGACTTACCTTTGGGCCTCAGTTTCCTCATCTGTATAAATGCTATGGCCCTTCCATATTTCCTTACATGTCGGCCAGCACTATACTAGGCTCAAGGGATGGTGGTAAATAAGAAGACCCAGCCCCCATCCTCATGAGATGACAGCGTAGCCATGTGACCAAGTGATTTCTGCCGTGTCCAGCACAGAGGGCCTGTGGTGAATGCTGGTTGCTGATATGCAGACAGCATCCCTCTCCAGTATCCCAAGGGGGTCATATTCAACCTAGACCTGCGTTCTGCTGTGCTGCTCTCTCTGTCCAGTGCCTTTCTCTTTCTCTCCATGGTTAGCATTTTGCGTTATGGCTGACAGAGTGCTTTACCTCTCATCCCCAGACCCACCTCCCCGTGAATGGCACGAATGTAGAACCGATCTTATGGACAACCTGGTCTGACCCCTACCTCTCTAGTATGCCTCTGTCCAGCCATACCTAATTATCTCTACCCAAAGGCCCCCAGGAACAATAGAACTTGCTGCCTAATGGTATATTGGATTCCACATTAGTTTTCATTATGTTGGAGCTTTCACTTTCATTTCCTCAGTTCCTCAGTTTCCCCAAGTTACAAACTATAGACTGGGGTTATGTCATTGTGTCTGTACCTCCAAAGTTACTGATTCCAGTGTCTTGCACTTAGTAGACACACAACGCACATGGTTGACAAACGGGCCAGTAAAGTGACCGCCAAGCCAGCTTTCGGAGAGGATGCGGCACAGCACTGGGCTAGGGATTTGGAGACCTTGGCTTGAGTCCAGACTCTACCACAACTAGCTGGAGGGCCACCTCCATGAGCCTCAATTACCCTATCTCGATGACAAAGATAATGTGGGAGGGACTTTATCATAGACAAAGTTTCTTTGGATTGATGATCTCATTTGAGCCACATGACAACCAAGTTCTTATCCTACCAGTGGAGTGTGACCTGGTTTTCTCACTATACCCTCACCTACATCAGATAGGGTTCATTTTTTGGACCACGGCCAATTTGCTAGTTGAGGAAAAGAATCTCATTATTTTAAGAGTGTGTTGCTGATTTTTCTGTTGGTGTTTTGGTGTTTTTCATATTGATCTAGTTACGTTCTTTACATATTACGGACATAAACTCTTTAAATCAAATTACATGTTGTTAGCATGCCCTTTAATTTTATAGATGATTTTTTTGTAATTTTTTTTAATTTGGGAAGAGATATAATACAGAAAAGTACGTAAATAATATTAGTATTAACTTGACATTTTAAATTATAAAAGCAATATGTACTCAGAGTAAAAGCAAAACATGAAATTGTATAGGAAGGTATGAGTGAGAAGCCCATCTCCCTCTCTTTGACTTCCCAGTCTCACTCTCCACTGCTGACCACTTTTAGTTTTCTATGTTTCTTCCCAGGAATTTTAGAAGTTCTAAAATTCTAGTTGTGATTTCTATAGTTATTTTGATGTTTTCTACATACTTTCTCATTCTGAAATCTATTTTTATGATATTGCAATTTATAATAAGGAATATACAGTCAAGCGCCAATTAACAATGGGCTTACATTCTGGAAATACACCCTTAGGCGATTTCATCATTGTGTGAACACCATAGAGTGCACTTTTACAAACTTAGATGGAATGGCCTACCGCACACTAGGCTTTATGGTATACTACTGTCATATATTTGGTCTGTTGGTAAGTAAAACATCATTATGTGGTGCATGACTGTATATTTGGTCTTTGTCCACTGTTCCTGGCAAAGAGCTCTTAACACTTTTAGAATTTCCTGTGGTGAGAGCAATAAAGGTATCACTTGTTATGTTAACAAAGTTACTTTTGGAAAGCACCTAAGGATGGGGGGTGGGGGGCGCTGGTTTCCAGTGGAGCCAACTATGATTAGAAGGCTGAAACTTTCAGTCCTACCCTGGACTTCTAGAGAGGGTGTAGAGGTTAGACACAGAGTTCTACCACCAATGGCCAATGATTTAGTCAATCATGCCTATGTAATGAAGCCTCCAAAAATAAAAAATAAAAATAAAAAGGAAGGGAGTCAGAGAGCTTCTGGGTTGGTGAACACCTGGAGATTCAGGGAGAGTGGTATACTCAGAGAGGGTATGGAAGCTTCATGCCCTTTCTCCATACTTTGTCCTATATATCTCTTCTATCTGGCTGTTCCTGAGTTATATCCTTTTATGATAAAACACTAACCTAGTAAGAACAATGTTTCTCTGAGTTCTGTTAGCCATTCTAGCAAATTAATTGAACCCTTGGAAGGGGTCATTGGAACCTCCAATCTATAACCAGTTGGTCAGTCAGAAGTACAGGTGACACCCTATACTTGCAATTGGTGTTTGAAGTGGGGAAGGGCAGTCTTGTAGGACTCAGCACTGAACCTGTGGAATTTGATGTTTTCTCTGAGTAAAAAGTGTCAGAATTAAGTTGAATTGATAGACACTCAACTGTTGTCTGAGAATTACTTGGTGTGGGGGTAAATCTCACACACTGGAATTTTATTCTTAGTTTTAGAATGATTTCCTTTTAAAAAATATTTAATTATTTAATCAGTCTGACACTTTAGTGCATATATGAGACAAGGTACGGGTATCTATCTTGATTATTTCTCCCAAATAATTATCCTGTCTCAGAATCATTAGCTGAAAAGCCCTTCTTTTCTCTACTAATCTGTGATCAGAGATGGCTTCATTGTCATTGTTCTATGAGTTCATACGTGAATAAGGAGCTCTTGGATGCTAGGAAGAGAGGCACTGCGCAGCCATCCCTGAATATTCACTTACTGTGACCAGGCCCTGAGTTCGGGGGTGTAGAGACCTCAGTAATCAGACCACTGGCCTGAGTTAGAGACTAGGATACAAATTTCTCTTCTACCATGCACTGCTGCGATACCTTGGGCAAGTCTCTAGTCCTCTATGGGTCTCAACCTTGTGGTAGAACGCAGGCTGCAGTCTTGGGAGACAGGTGGCCAGGGTCTGACAGCCTTGGGCTCATCTTCCCACATGGGCTCCCTCCAAGTGCTGGGTGTAGCCAGCTGTAGGAGGCCTGAGAGGGAGGCCTGACAGGCTGAGGGGCAAGTAGGGCACCAGCCACTCCAAGTGGGACAGGAGAGAACCCTACAGTCAAATAAGGGGCAGGAAGGTCTTTAGTATTGGAAGACCTGGGTTCAACTCCCAGCTTTGCCACGTACTAGCTGTGTGACCTTGGACAAGTCACTTGTCTACTCTGGGATAAAGGTTGGGACCTGAGTATGTTTCCAGAGTGGATTTGCTTGCAGCCTGGAATGCAATCTGATCGTATTTGTTATTTTTCTTGCTCTTCCAGTGGCCCACTCTTTGACCCTGGGGCAGTGAGAGGCCAAGAAACAGCCCATCTGTCTCTTCCTGGCCCTGCACAGTGGGAAGAAAACTGTGAACTAGCCTGGCAGCATGGAAGGCTCTCGGGGTTTGGTGGAGAGCTAGCAGGGCCCGGGGAAATGCTCACCTGTAGCAGTTGTTGTTATAATTGTTATAACTTCCCAGAGCAGTCAGACAACCCAGGCAGATGGCATAGGAGAAAAAGATCTGCGTTCCAGCATCTACCCAGACCTGCAGGAAGACACAAAGAAGTTGGCACAGAAATAAGAGGTCAGATGTGCCTTGGCCCTGTTCTCTGACATCTCCCACCCACATCCTCCCTCTAAAAAGAGTCAACAAAGGGATAACCAAACTTCCTCAACCTTCTTAGGAACATGTTTTTAGGCGTTCTATTCTTGAGGACCACTTGATTAAATATAAATATCCTTAATTAATTCCAGATTTTTTTCAGTGGTTATGGATAACAGTTCACTGAATAGCAAGAATTTGGATGTTTAGGACCATGCTCCAGCTCTGTTAAAGTTACTTAACTTCTCTGAGGCTTAGGTTCCTGATATGCAAAATGTGGAAAGAACTCTCTCAGGAGTGTTGAGAGGATTCATGCAATAAGAAATGTAGCATGCTTATTGGAATGAGCATGCTCATTGGCATGTTTAAAGCAAAATGAGTGATATTCTTTGTGATTAAGACTACCATAAGAAAACTCATAGGGTTCCATCCAGGGGGAAGCATCGCATAGCTGACCTGACCTTACGAGGTGGCATGGAAGGGACAGAAGGAGACGGGGAGGCCCACCGAATCTTTACCATAAAAATAGATGCATTTGAGGCTTCTTATGTGGTACATATGTAAAGTACTTTCTTAGTTTCTAAGTTCCCTTTGACAAAAACTACTGTGGACAGCATGACACGCACAACAGGAATTACGGTGGCTTCTCTAACATTTCCTCTGGGCTATCTTTGAGCTCTTACAAGTTACCGAGGAAAATCTACAACTAAAACCTAAATGTAGCTGATGACTGATGCTTGAGAATCAAGTTTTATCTGGAGCAGGGGTCCCCAACCCCCAGGCCATGAACCAGCATCAGTCCGTAGCCTGTTAGGAACAGGGCCACACAGCAGGAGGTTAGTGGCGGGCAGTTGAGTGAGCAAAACTTCATCTGTATTTGCAGCTGCTCCCCATCACTAGCATCACCGCCTCAGCTCCCTCTCAGATCATCAGGCATTAGATTCTCATAGGAGCACCAGTCCCTGGTGCCAAAAAGGTTGGGGACCACTGATCTAGAGAACAAGGCTTTGCACTAAATACAATTACTAGCAACCATTTATTAAACACTTACAGTGTGCCAGGCACTCGTGCTGAGCCCTGTACGCATTATTGCTCTTTAATGTTCACAGAGACTCTATGTGGTAGGTGCTTTTACTAGTCCCTTTTTACAGCTGAGGAAACTGTGGAACAGACAGGTTGAGTAATTTGCTCAAGACCACACAGCTGGGAGTGGCAGATACAAGTTCATGAGACCCACCTCTAGAGAAGCATGCTTAACTAATCCCAGAATTTCAGAAGTCTTTAGGTGTAACCTCAACATATGACACTCTTCTGAGTACTTCTGACAGATAGTTTCTACTTGATTAGGGCAATGACAGGGAACTCACTATATCTCCTGATGCATCCCCTTTCTTCTTTAGAGAATTATGACGGTTAGACCATTTCTTAAAATGAGAGGAAATCTCCCTTCCTGGGTTCCTAGTTCTGGGGTCACCCAACCCTTATTTCTCTCTTCCAAGTGGTAGCACTTTAGAGATTTGAAGAAAGCACCAGTGCCTCCTGGACCCTAGAACTCTCCCTTTTCCAGACAAAATATCTCTATTCCCTCTTTCTTGGGGAATTGATTACATGATAAAGACCACTCTTCCATGGATTTTCTTGAGTTTGTTAAATAATTCAACATGTACCTTAAAAGAGATTATAATGTTGCCTCTCAACCTAAGAAATAATTTTTTCCCCTCTAGTATAGGGTCATTGGGTTTAGTGTCTTAGAGCTAAATGAGGAACTTAGAGAGAGCCTTCTCTAAGTGTGTGTGTGGGGGCGGGGGGAGGAGTGCCCGCAGATCAGAGTAGGTTGATACATGAGGAAGGAAAATGGAAATATAATGAAAATAAAAAACCACTTTTTCAAAAAAAATTTGCCATAAAGGGGAGTTGGATGATAAGGTGGTAATGAAAGGGTAAATAAAATTTAGGAAGGATTTTTTTAAAAATGGTAGGAACTCGAGGATGCTTAAATGTTGATAGGAAGGGTCCATTGCAGAAAAAAAAAAAAGTGAAGATTTAGGAGAGAAATGGATATGTTTTTAAGTCCTCCTGCTCTGTTTCCCCATTTGCTACCCTAGTGGGATCCCCTCTACCCAAATCCAGAGTACAGTGACCTGTCAGGCAATCAAATACCCAACAGAGAAGAAATAGATGTATTTTGCCTGGAAAAAGGAGAATTCTAGGGTGCAGGGGGAAGTGGAGCTTTCTTCAAATCTCAAAGGCCAGTAAAACACTTGGAGAAGCAAAAACAATACAGCTGCTGACCGAAGAAACAAAACCAGATCACAGGAGATGCCCACAGGGATGCTCAGCACTCCCAGAGTCCCATGTTTGTTTTTAATGCCCTTGCAAAATGAGTGTCCTCTTCCCAGACCCTTTGTTGTCCCTGGCTGAGTGTGCAGGCCAGTAAGAGAGGTTGTTCAGATGTTTGGGAAAACTGATTTCTCAGCTGGGACCCATGGCAGGTGGTCCCCTACCACAACATGGTAAATAAACTCTCTGAGTTCAAAAATGCTAGAGAGCTTTCCATTTGCACATCTCAAAGATGGGCCCCCAAACCATGATTTTCACCTGCAGGAAATTTTTCTTGCAGTTTGCTTACTGAGCATGTCGACACTGCATATGCTCTTTTTGCCTAACTAGTATCCATCTCCCCTTTTAGGTAATAGCATCCCAATTTTCCTGTGGAAAACCACCTCTTCCCCACTCAGAGACAGACAGCTTCAGGGGTGATCATATGACCCATGCCTGGCCTATCAAAGCATTTCTCTTGGCCACAACTATTGGGTTGGGGATGAGCATATGATGCAAACCAAGCCAATGAAACTTAATTTGGGGACTTTCAGTGGAGCCATTGCAAACGGGACGCATTCTTTTCTCCTGGATATGTTAAGTTTGTAACTGCTAGGGGTCATCACTGACCACAAGGGAAAAGAACAACCTGCCTGAGAATAAAGCCAGTGCAAAGGAAAGCCAGTGCAAAGAATCTAGAACAAAGAAAGACTGATATTGGTGGTAAGACTTGGGTCCCTGGGCCCAATCATACCTGAAATCAGACATACCTGAGAACATTTCAATTTCAGAGGCTTCTTTTTTCTTAAGTCAATTTGAATGGGATTACTGTCACTTCAAATGGAAAAAATTCTGACAAATAGCAATATTAAGCTCTTAGAAAAACCTAAAGGCTGTAAGCCCAGATCCCTCAACCAATCCTAAATTACTAATGAACCACCACTTATCGAGTGCCTTCTGTGTGCAGAATCCTGTGCCAGATTGTGAAAGAGGTACTGTACAATGATACATATACACTCCATCTTGTCTGCAGGTAAGGTAAGACAAAGCGTTCAGAGAACAAGGTACCCAGTACCTAGGAGTGGTAGATGAGGGGAAAAATGAACATGTGCTAGGGCAATCAGAGAAGGCTGTCTGGAGGAAGTACACTTTTAAACACTGGAGAAGTGATGAGATGGGACATACTGGGCCTAGTGGTTCAATGTGAGAGGAGAATGAGTTCTCAAATGACTTTTCCCTCTTGCTCCCCTACCTCTGTAGGAAAAAAGCCTGTCATTGTTATTCTGATAGTTACCGTTAAATCAACACCTTTATACAATACCTTTTGTTCTTCTCCCTTTTGGCAATGTCTGTTGGTTTCCTACCATAAAGAATATTGATATTAGCCAGTAGCCTCTATTTCTCTTCCTTCTCTTTGCTCTAGGATCTAATGTGAAAAAATATTCATTTGTTTCCTATAAATACTTAAAGGCAATCTGTGAATTTATTCTACCTTTCATATACACACATTCTCTTCCAATTTTTGAATACTTGTACTATATCTGCATTATTAGAACACACAACCATTATGTATTATTTCCCTTTTAGCCACTGTTTAGTTCTACAGGTTTAATGCTCACTCCTAGACTTTGTTAATACTTCTCCAGTCAATTTGCTTGTCTGTAGCTTGCTTTCTAGTAAATTCCTCTGTAAAGGCTCATGGGAAATAATATTTCTCAGGTTCTTGTATGTTCATAATAGTTGATCTATGGCTTTCATACTTGAAAGTCAATTAGCTATCTATAAAATCCTTGGTTCTCTTTTCCTTTTCCTTAGAATCTTGAGTATGTTGCTTAGTTATCTCCTGGCACAGAGAGCTGCTGGAGAAAAGTCTGATGCCATTCTAATTTGTTTTCCTTTATAAAACACTTTATTTTTTGTCTGAATGATCGATAGGATTTTTCCTTTCTCTTTAAAGTTCAATAATTTTATTAGAATATGTCTTAATGTTGACTATTCTATGTTGACTTTCCCAGGCTTGTGGTGTTCTTCTTGAAGATGTGAATTCAAGTTTTCTCTTAAATATCCATTTCCAGTATTTGGTCTCTTCCATTGCTTTGGATTTCTTCTTTGGGAATTTTTTGTATGTTGGATCTTCTTTGTCTGTCTTCTGTACTTATCACTTTTTTTTTTGCATTTTTAAAAAATCTCTTTCCTTATTTCTGACTTTATTTTCCTCCTTTCTATTCTCTTTTTACCTTATGACATTATCTATGGTGTCTATTCACTCCTGTATTCCTCTATTTAGTTATTTCTCCTGAAATATTTTTCCTTCTGTAAGCTGTCTTTTCAAACTTTCTAATGATTTCACTTATAGTATTGTTCCAAAGCATCTGTTGGCTTCTTAATTTCTTTTAGCTTTTTAAAAAAAATATTAAATTACAGCATTTAGATATTTTATGGTCTTTGTGGAATGCATTCATTATCAGTAGGAATACTATTCTGTTCATAAGTTTTCTTATAATGGCTTTGTGTAGGATTTGACCATAATTCTTTTCTGTTGCTCATGTGTAGGTGAGACGTATTTTCTTGTACTCTTAGAAGGGGAATTTTTGTATAGAGGAATAGGAGTAATCCAGGGTAGA